AAGGGGTGGGGGAGAGGTCCCTTGACTCCTCCTTTTCTCCTCCTTTTCTTATAAGGATACTGATCCCATCATGAGGGCCCCATCCTTTTGACCTCATCTAATCCTAATCACCTAAAATGCCCCACCTCCAAATACCATCATATTGGAGATTAGGGTTTAAATATGGGACTTTGGGAGGGACACAAATATACAGTTCTTAACAAGCCCCAAATAGTAGTTGTGCCAAGGTTGAAAAACCCCAGTCTACGTGGTTTATTTTATAAATGTGGAAACTGAGGGCAAGACAAGGCAGAGTGATTCGCCCAAGTCCACTTGACAGTTGAAGTAATCATGTCTTCCAGAGCCCTCCTCTAATACTCTCTCTACTATACTGCCCCCACCACATGTATGACCTTCCAAACACACGTTCCCATGCCAGGTAAGTCAGGGCTACAGGCTGTCCTGTTTATGAATTTAAAACGTTCTAAGTTTAGATGGTTCAGTTTACTATGGAAGGTAACTGCTTTAAAATACACATCTAGCCCTGGCCGGTTTGGCTCAGTAGATAGAGCGTCAGCCTGCAGACTCAAGGGTCCCAGGTTTGATTCTGGTCAGGGGCATGTACCTTGGTTGCGGGCACGTCCCCAGTGGGGGGTATGCAGGAGGCAGCTGATCTATGTTTCTCTCTCATCGATGTTTCTAGCTCTCTATCCCTCTCCCTTCCTCTCTGTAAAAAATCAATAAAATATATTTTAAAAAAATAAAATAAAATACACATCTAAGGGCTGTTGGCATGGACCTGCCTCTGCTCATCCTCTCTCCCTCCAACGCGTCTCCCCCACCCCCCGCCCATGCAGCAGTCTCCCGGATATGTAAACAGAGCCTGGAAGGACAAGAAAGCCTGTCAGGGGGGACAAGGAAAAATAGTTTTGAATTGATTTTTATTTAATGTACATCTGAAAAAATATATAGTCGGCACATCAAAGTGGGCAATTACAAATCTATTGCTTAGTATTTTAAACAACCTATTGCTAGTATTTTAGATTTAAAAATACTATTTATATGAGGCTAACATAGGTATTGAAAGTAAAAAAAAACAAAACCAAACAAACAAACAACATCTGTTTAAAGAAAAATATTAGTTCAAATGGCCAAAATGGGAATGGGACCAAAATTGGGGCAGCCAATCAGCTGAGAGTAATATGCTGCTTTATTTTCAGGTTCGAGGTTGGGGAAAGACTTCTCCAACTGCTTGCCTTTGGCCCAGAAAGAAACGTAAGAAGGCGAAGGTGGGAGAAGGTGTCAGCGGCTGCTTACTGTGTGTCAGTCTCTCCCAAGGGACCCCCGAGGCTGGGCCTCAGACTGAGGCTGGAAGCCTGGAGTCAAGGGCTCTGGCTGAGGCAGGCTCGGAGGAGGATCCAGGTGGCCCCTCCCAGACTCAGCTCCCCACTGGCTGCCCCACCACTGCCTCCAGGAATATTAGCAAGATGTGCTCTCCCTCTCATAGTCCGGGAGAGAAAAAATGTCTGCAAATAAAGGAGTTTTTTTGGTGCATGGAAGAGTGGGCCATCCCAGAGACTGGTAGGGACCAAGACTCCAACAGCAGGACTGATCAAGGTCCCTCCATCTCAAACTCACTGAATTCCAAGGCCCTTTTAGTTCTCCCCCCCCTGAATTCTTCAGCCCCACATGGCTCGGATGTTCAGGTTAAGAAGAGTAAGAACTCGCTCGTGCAGCCAGAAGAGAAGGTGCTGAGTGTGGAAAAGGATGAGTGTGTGGCTTGTGCATATGGATTGAAAATGGTTGAAGGGAAAGATGGAAAGAGACCCTTTGAGCTGGCCAGTCACCTTAAGGTCAGCTGCATGCAGCCTTTTCCTTCACCAATGGTTGGGACAAACCTCCTGGCCAATCCAGAACTGGGCAGCTTGCACTGGTCCCTCCTGCCTAAGAAAAACCTGATGTGCCCTCCCAATCCCAATAGTGTTCACTGTCTCAGGACTATGCAGCTTTTGCAAAAACAGAAAGAGCAAAGCTACAAAGCCAAATTCAAAGCCAGGGAGCTGAGACCTCCCATGAACACCCAAAAGTGCATTCTCAAAGAGGCCACGCAGGAAAACAGGCCCCATCCATTGGAGACCAATGTGTTTCCGAGACCTCTCTTGCCATCACTCACAGTGAGCAGAGTTGTTATTCCCACCTCCACTCACAGATTCCTCTGAATTGCCACAATATAATTTCCTGGGAATAAGCACCTTTGGAAACTCATTCATTCTCTTTCTCCCTTACCCCCACCCCATTCTCTTCTAGTTTCTTCCTTTCCCCCCATCCATTGGAGACCAATGTGTTTCCGAGACCTCTCTTGCCATCACTCACAGTGAGCAGAGTTGTTATTCCCACCTCCACTCACAGATTCCTCTGAATTGCCACAATATAATTTCCTGGGAATAAGCACCTTTGGAAACTCATTCATTCTCTTTCTCCCTTACCCGCACCCCATTCTCTTCTAGTTTCTTCCCTCCCTTCCCCTTTTGTTTTCCATCCTTTTCTCTCCCTCCGTGCCTTCTTCTCTGTCCATTTTTTTAAAAACCAGAGGAAATAAACTCATTGTATGGATTTTGATTTATTCTCAGAACACCCATATTTATGTGTTACCTGCTTCAGTTGCTTAGTCATTTATAAAATGCAAACTAGTAATGCCAGTCTCAGCCTCTGCTTGCTTTATTTCTCTCCCGCTGGAAGCCAAGTGGATGGTGGGGAATCTGAAGAGGGTCTCTCATGGCGATGCCCCAATATCACCCTTGAACCCATTGGAAAGGGCTCTTCTATAACCCAGTGCCTGAAGCTAAGTGTACTGGCCTTTTTTGTACCAAATTATTACTTGTCTTTTTAATTTAAAGATTTTTTTAAAGATATTAAAGTTGGTTATTGTAGGGAGAGAGCGAGCGAGCAAAAGATTGACATGAGAGGGAAACATCGATCTGCCTCCCACATGCCCCCCACAGGGATCGAGCCTGCAACCTGGGCATATGCCCTGACTGGGAATCAAACCGGCAATCCTTCAGTGCATGGGACTATGCCCAGCCAACTGAACCACACTGGCCAGGGTTTCCTGATATTTTTAAACTGGCAGATATCTGTCGGTTGCCTCATTTTTTTCTTGCAACAAAGATTTGAAACGTTGTTTCAATAGAAAACTCCAAACTGTGTCTAACTGAATATACTTACATTCAGGTGAAATATCTGTATATTATATCCATGAGGATACTATACCCATTGTATCCTATATGTCCAAAGTGACATAAATCTATGGGTTTACCATGTTTATTGTATCCTATGTGTCCAAAGTGATATATCTTTGTATTGTAGCCTCATGCTAGTCTCTGTGTCTGGGAAATTTTAGCCACAGTTCCACAAAACCTGCTTGGAAAGCAGGTTAAGAATCATTATTTGAGGAAAAAGTCACTGTGATTATTGTCACCCCACATGCTTCCTCCTGCCTTATTCTGCACCTAATATTTGGGAACTCTACAACTCCAGACAGACGCTTACAGAATGGGGCTGTTACATTCTCCCTTCCCCTGATCCTTCTCCCCACTCATTTTACTCCAATGCATATTTCCTGGAGTTGTCTATAAATTAAATATTGTTTGTAAATGAGTTATCGTTTAAATGCCAAGTGACAATGCTATGTAGAGAAATGCTCTGGAAAAAAAACACCACTTTGTAATATGAATAACCATTTAGCTGCCCTGTAATTACAGTTTGAATTTGCTTTCGGTAGGTTGTACTTGCACTCTGTACTTTCCATTCCCTAAATGATGACTGCATTTGTAAACATCTGCTTTCTGTAATTGCTCTTTAGTTTAGGGGTTTTTGTTTTGTTTTGTTTCTTTGAAACACCAGAAATGCAGGAATGATTATAGTACAGCAGTCATTAAAAGGTATATTTTGCCTACTTAAGTACACTTTTTTAAAGTCTAGAAGCAATTTGTAGCTTCCATCCATCCCTTCTTCCCTGAATGAAGGAAACATCTGGATTCTATCCTCAAGAAAAGACCTTGATTTCCCACTGTTTCTTGACAGTGGGGGTGTTGGAGCTGGTACTGTTTGAGGACAATCTAGGAATGGCAGCCTGCCCACCTAAGTCAGTGGTTTTCCAAGTCCCCTTTACAAACAGCAGAATAATAAGCTCAATATGTAAAAGAGTCAAAAATATTTGATTGGGAGGGAAGGGTATGGACCAGCATGAGTGAGCAATGGAGCCCCACCTACTTAGCCTAGATACATTTACTTTTGAGATCTTTTTAAAAATATGTTTTTATTGATTTCAGAGAGAGGGGGAGAGGGGAGACAGGGAAACATCAATGTGAGAGAGAAACATCCATCAGTTGCCTCTTGCATGCAACCCAACTAGGGACTGAACCCTCAACTTGGGCATGTGCCCTGACTAGGAATTGAACTGGTGACCTTTCAGTGTACAAGACAATGCTCAAACAACTGAACCACACTGGGCCAACTACTTTTGAATTCTTGAGGCAGTTTAAAAACACTGATATGTTACAACTTAATATTTCTTTCTTATGAAAAATCCTTTTGATGAGATGGAGTTATAAATTCTACAGATTTGGGGGTAAACACCTATCCTATATAATAAAAGGCTAATATGCAAATAGACCAAACAGCAGAACAACCAAACAACCGGTCACTATGACGTGCGCTGACCACCAGGGGTATCAGCAGATGCGAGCGGGGCCTGGAGTCATCAGAACGTGGGAGCGGTAGCGGCAAGAGCAGGGCTGCTGGCAGCCAGGGAAGGGGGGCGTGGCAGGAGGGGCTGGGCAGGGGTGTGGAGGATGGGCCAAGACCCGCCCCTGTGCCCACTGCAGCCTCGTGGCCCACAGTTCCTTTCAAGGTGCACGAATTCATGCACTGGGCCCCTAGAATAGGAATAATTTAGAGTTAACAGGAAGACCAGTCTGAACAAAAAATGGGCCAATATACGAAAGATTCATAGTATCCATCTTTTGGGGCAAATAATTAATTTGGTCAACAAAATATTGAGTGGAACATTCCTCTGTGAATGTATAAGAATGTCCCCTTGGCATCCCTTTGTTAGATAATTATTCATGCACCTGATGAAGTCACTTTAGGGATACTATTTGCATTGGCCCAGGTTTCGTTTGTTTCTCTGTGGGTAAAGTCATTGTAGACCTTGTCCCATTTTCCATTCAGAAAATTGGGACGCCCAAACTGGTCGTTGATGTCCAAGACTAGATAAAGGCTAAATGTTTACTAGAATGCAGGCCCCATCAGAGTTCTAGGTCACTAAGAAAACTCACAGGGGAAATAAGGAGTCAAGCATGTTATAATACAGGTTCCAATGGCTTTCTTCCTATCTCAAGGAGATGATCTCAATAGGTTTTGGTTCCTTTAGTCCTTTCCAAACCAAGCATGAAGAGCTCTGTGTTTCATCCCTCAGTCTATTATTTTTGGATGTCTCATGAGTTAAACTTTACAAACTCCCATTTTTCTTGTAAATTTAAAAATCACAAAGCAGAATTGTGGTAGCGTCCGACACAGGGCCTGAGATCACCTATTGGGTGAGGCTGGGTTGAGGTCTGGGAATGCTGCTGAGGGTCTAGGTGAGGCAAAGGAAGGGCCAGAGGGGCAGGAGATGTTGGACAGACAGAATGTCAACCTGACAGAGAGATGAGGGGGTGACATGTTTGAAGGGCAAGGGGGAGATTTTAAGTCTATTCTAATTCTAGACCTGGCTACATACATTTGGACAAGTACATAGGACTTTGGCTACTCAGGGAGACTTTTCTTAATTTTTAGCTTTACTCTCTTTTCATTCTGGACTTTGCCTCTATTATGGAATTTACCTGTACTTCAAAGATCACACTATAAAATGATTTGAACCCAGAATCAAATTTGCTTTCAATCTCCCCCTCTAAGTGTAGGAGCATCAGGACCCAGTGAGACCACAGAAGCCCAGCCCATCTCCCTGTGGGCACCCCTAGCTGGCCAAACAGGCCAAGCGGCACAGCTGGAGGCCTCACATCTGAGGCTTTTTGGGGTGTCTGGACTTGGGGGGCCCACTTGGTGCTATAGTTTAGGGGCTCCTGAGAAGCAAGGTGGGGAAGTAAGAAACAAAGGGGCTCCTGTGGCCATGACAGAGGATAGACCAAGGCACTTGCTGGCCCCACAGAGAACACTTCTGCTATCTGCTAGGCTAACTGGGAGTCATGAGAGACTCAAGGTTATGCTCTCGCTGCCCAGGCTAATCTACTAGCTGGTCACACAATACAGCAATTCCACTTGTTTTCAAGGCATTGTTTCTAAAAGTTCAAACCTCCTTTGGGGCATTATCTCTTTATCCTGAGTGTATGCATGTGCATCAGGGATCAAGTTCTTCTGTAACCCAAGGGGAATCTAATCAGAGAGATTGCGTTTAGTCAGGCCAGGTAGGGTCTGGAAGGTCCAATATGTCTCCCAGGTCGGGGGGAGAGGGGAGCGGGGACAGTTGGAGCACTGGGTGGAAAATACCACATAAGGCAGGAAGGAGGGCTGGAGAATATCATTTCTGTGGTGAGGATGATGAGGTATGTAAAACAACAGATTTGTGGTTTTCCTGAATGTACTAATCAGATCAAATATGAATAGCTGAATCATTTATTTCCCTTAATGGATAACTGACTTCAAAGTTGTATAGAAAGCCTATGGGCATGGTGAGTTGTTATTTGGACCTTGAAGGATCTTCAATCTTTAATAGTCCTCACAGCTCAGCTTTGAAACTTGTTGAACTAAGGCTCTTTGCTTGGGACCCTGTTAATCAATCCATGCGCTATCTTTAGCCCCTGGTTCTTTTCTTCATCCTGTTTTGCATGAATTTTCCCTGCACCAGTCTAAATACCAGCACTCTGTTGCCTGGCTGTGGTGGCTCAGTGGATTGAGCGTTGTCCCATAGACCAAGAGGTCCCGGGTTCAATTCCCAGTCAAGGTACATGCCCCGGTTGCAGGCTCAATCCCCAACAGGGAGCAAGCTGGGGGTGGCCTATTAATGATTGTCTCACATTGTTGTTTCTATCTCTCCCTCTCTTTCTCCCTTCATCTTGGAGATCAATAAAAAATATATATATTTTTAAAAACAGTGAACTTGAGAATATTCTATAAACTAGTCTTATTTTCAGCACCACAAGAGGGTTATGACTATTAACCAAGTCCTCAATGTGAAAGGGCTGTTAGCAATTTCATTTGTTTTAATCTGCATGTTGCTGTGAAGAAAACTCGTAACCTCTGAATAAAACATTTAATTTGGGACAAATACCACTGGTCCTGATACTCTTCACTTGTGAAGGTGCGATTTCTGTGGCAATTTACCCAAATCCTTTTGACTGATTTCTCTAACGTAATTTCAGGAAAATGGAATGTCAGAGAGACACTTGTCATTATGGTAGCTATTTAGAGAACTGTAAATCTGAAGACCTACTACTCAGGTACATATCTTGTTAGAGAACAGTGATTTAAGTAGTTTAAAAATATACCACATCTTAACCAAAAAAGGTGAAAAGAGAAAAAATTGACACTAGCTTACAATTCACTAATAGTACCAGACTTCAGTATAGCTAAACAAAATTATTATCATGAACTGAAATAGGCAATATACATAACTCCTAAAGCATAACTTGCCAAAGTTTGGATGGTTTCTCAAAAGTGTAATATAAAATCTAAATTTTTGAAGGCTCATTTTTTAATTAGGGAAAAGTTTTTGAGGAGCATTTTAAGGGTAAATATTCTTTTGTGATAAGTTAATTCAGATGCACAGACTTCTGCCACATTTTTATTGCAGCATGAACTCTAGATTTTCTGAAGTCACTAGATTTCTCGTTATAGCACAGGAAAAAGGAGATAAAGTAGGAGAGGGATCAGTATCAAATTCAGCCCTAAGCAGCAACATGTTTGAGATGCAATCATAAAACCAAGTATTTCACCCGGGGCATGGAAAACGCAGTGAATCATCAGAAAGCAAAGAGCAAAAAGCCGCAAGCAGAAGGAGTAAGAAGACGCCAGGCCTGGAACAAGGTCTTACTGACACATACCATGTTATTAAGCTCACTCCTGCAGGGAAAAAAAGTCTGTTGTTCACATTGAGATAACATTTATACTTTTGAGAATGACAAAGTTGCCATGGAGATACATTTTTCAAAAATTTTTTCATTTTCTGAAATTTTACTGATAAGCTAAAAAAGAGAATCACTTGTTTCAATTTTGTTATTTTTCCAGCCTTATCTTCTGTAATATTAACTTGCTTGAGAGTAAAGTATCAACAACTAATGGAAGAGCCTTGGCAATAGTTTTTCCTATGCTTGCCAACCTTCACTATTTTGAAATTGTGGATTTATTATAAAATTACAAATGTACTTATTAGTAAGATAAAATTTGGAGTTCTTGAAAAGTTGGTTGAAAGAACTGAATGAATATTGGTACTCTTCTAGTTCAAGAATTATAGAAAATGCTTTTATTTATTCACATCATTTGGGCACTTGCTTCTTTCAATATATATATATATATATATATAGTTAATCCTCACCCAAGGATATTTTTCTCATTGATTTTTTTTGACATTTGAGGATTTTTTTTAAAAAAATATACTTTTATTGATTTCAGATAGGAAAGGAGAGGGAGAGAGATAGAAAGATCCATGATGAGAGAGAATCATGGATCGGCTGCCTCTTGCACACCCTTTACTGGGGATCAAGCCCACAACCGGGCATGTGCCCTTGACCAAGATCGAACCCGGGACCCTTCAGTCCACAGGCTGATGCTCTACCTGCTGAGCCAAATGGGTTAGGGCTTTCCCATTGATTTTTAAAGAGAGTGGGAGGGAGGAAGAGGGAGAAAAAGAGAGAGAGGGAGGAAGAAAGAAACATAGATGTGAGACACATTGATTGATTGCCTCCTGCACATACTCCAACAGGGGCTGGGGCTCCAACCTGCAACCCAGGTACCTGCCCTTGACTGGGAATTGAACCCGAGACCCTTGGGTGTGCGGACCAAGGCTTTAATTACTGAGCCACACCAACCAGGGTCACACATGCATATTTTTAAATGTAGTACCCACATTTATTAATGTTTTAGAACCCTGACAAACTAAGAATCCTCTCCATTTGCTCTCTAGTCTGCCTCTCTTGATAGGTAAACAATATATCAGTGTATCTGCTAATAAAAACAGTTCACATGACTTAATCCTTTGGATGTAAACATTGCAAAACAATAGTATTTAGCACACTATCTTCTAGGCCAGGGGTGGGCAAACTTTTTGACTCGCCACGAGCTCTTAAACTGGACAGGAGGGCTGGAACAAAAGCATGGATGGAGTGTTTGTGTGAACTAATATAAATTCAAAGTAAGCATCATTACATAAAAGGGTATGGTCTTTTTTTTTTTTTAGTTTTATTCATTTCAAACGGGCCGGATCCGGCCCGCGGGCTGTAGTTTGCCCAGGGCTGTTCTAGGCCATAAGAACATTATAATAGCCAACATCTTGCTTTAGCAACTGGATTAAATTCATGTCATTGAACAAAGTATTTTAGATGCTGGATTATGAATAAACTAAAGATAGACCTGTCCTCTTCGGGTGTCAAACACACTTCGGGTAGTTTAACACACTTCAGATGAGAACACACACACATATACTGTGAAATATAAGGAAAATAAACTGCACAATACTTGGGACTTCAAGGCCTTCATCCCTAAATCCACCCACGCCCCCTGAATTACTTGAGCCTTCTGAGGACAAGTTTGAGAAGCACTAATCTAAAAATACTGTAAGTTCTCTTCACAGTCAATATTAGATGACAGGCTTTGAAGTGCAGTTTTCTACTGGAATTAAGAATGACACTCTAAAATTAAGGCCATAGGCCTTGGCCTGTGTGCTCAACGGTTAGAGTGCCATCCTGAGCACTGAAGGGTTGTGGGTTTGGTTCCTGTTCCAGTCAGGGTACATACCCATGTGTGCATAAGGTAGCCAATTGATGTTTCTCTCTCTCCCTTCCTCCCTCTAGAATCAATGAAAAAAAAAACACATATCCTCCAGTGAGGATTAAAAAATAATTAAATTAAGGCCATAAAGGATGACATGTAAATATCAACCTGTCATTTGCCACTATAAATAAAATAACACAACTTCACAACTAGATTGGCACTGATACATTTTCTTCCCAAAAAGTAGCTTCAAATCTTCCATGGCATCGTTCAGGTAAATCTACAAAAATTTTCTACCTTTTTATTTCCTTTATGTCAAGGGAAATAGAAGCAGTGATTTGATTTTCCTGTAAATTAGTGACCAAGCAAAGAACTACTTATATTTTAACCTCCCCTTTTTTTTGCTCTTAAAGCCAGAACCACATTATTCACAAAAGTCATCACAGTATAAAATGGTCACATTTGGCAAATGTATTAATTGAAGTAAAAATAAATTTTCCAAAAACTTATATTGTAAGGTGTATAGTTTTTATCAAAATAAAAACTTTACATCAAAATAGAAACTTTAAAATGGAGTGTCTTTTCATTTTCTATTAGGAAAACTGTTAGCATGTTTTTATGATCAGAAGTAAAATAATGAAATAACTAGGCACAATCATTTCATCATGTGACTTTCAGAAGATGACAAGTTTGAAAAATTAAGGCAACAACGTAAGTCACAGTATGAGTAGGTCGAAGAATTCACAGAAAAAAAGGGAGAATTCTTACTTCTGTTTAATCACCGAATTTGAGTTTTTACAAATAATTCTTAGAACAAGTCAGGTATCTAAGGTTTTGGGGAAACAGTGCTTACTTATACATGAACTATTACATGCTCCATTTCCTATAAATAACTCTATTGGCTGGATTAACAAATACTGTCACAGAAACAACAAAAAAATTTAAAGCCATAGATCACTGCATTTATATTTACAAAAGCCATAAATAAACATGCATTTCTCCTTTACTAGGACTTAAATAGGTGTTTGAACATTAAGGCAGTGATGATTCTAAAACAATGAAATGTTAATTAAGGCTTATGCTTGTTTTGAAATCCATATTCATAGGCAACTGTGACCAAAGCAAACTTTTATCTACCAGGTGGAGCTCAGGATGTTTTTTATCCACAGCGAACAAAAATTCTATGAAATAGGAATTAGCAACACAACTTAATGAATTATTAGTCCCCTCCTTAGGTTTCATTTTGAGTATTTAACCTTCAGTGGCACAAGCATGTGTCACAGAAGGAACAGAGCATTTGTTTATTTTTTTTAGTGAAGTTAG